ACTCGTGTTGGAATACTTACCTATAGGCATTGGTTGACGGAAGAGAAATATCGGTGGCTCAAAGACCCGGATCGAAAAAATGGAGAGGTCACGGTGGGCAGTAGATTCAGCAGAACCCAGAATTTGATAAGCAGGCAACGAGCCGAGAACAGCGATGAAAAAGTGATTGCGATGGACGCGGATAGTAAGTTAAGCAAGAGCTTGTATGAGATGCAAAAGACTACTCGGAACAGTGCCACACAGATAGGCGGAAGGGAGATCACAACATCAAGACAGATAAGCCGAGAGAGTAACCAATAGTAGAGTAGACCGGCTTACTGATTAAATTGACCGACTCAGTGATATAGTGGATTCACCAAGTCAGACCAATCTAAAGTATGTTTGCCAGAGCGCTGGGCGAGGGAACGGAAGGGCATGGAGTTGGAATGAATCAGGAATAGACGGCCTATATTCCGAATCCGCGTGCTCTGACGTGATCAGGGTCAATGCGCGGGGAAACTAGACAGGTGTATTTTCCACGAATAGGTTAATTCGAGGATAAGCCGTTTGCGTAGTTTCGGTTACATCCTGCAATTGCTTGAGCACATTGAACGGATCAGAACTGTTCTTCAAGCAGATCGCATACACGTTTGGCGACCACGTCCCGAGTACTGCGAACAGTTAACCGGTACATCTTCAAAAGAAATAAAAAGCAACAGGTGAGCATTGCTGTGACTGACGAATTACGACGCTAAATGATGATCAATGAAGTGAGAAACAAAAGGGGTACTCCGAGGGTAACGGTCCCATATGACACTCATCTAATCATTTTCTATAACCCACCCTAGTGAAGCAAACAGCAGAAAGATTAGACCATACAGCCACACAGATCTCCGGTTTGATTGATTGAGTAGGCAGGCAACACAAAGCCTTAAACGTAGAGTGACGATTTGTATAAGACTTTCATGGGATAGACAGGATAGTCAGACGGATAACAGTGAACCTGTCACCCTTCTGGATTGATATCGGCCAACGAGAGCTACCAGAACGTTCAAAGACCAAAACAGTCTCAGTCACTAACTATGAAAAATGTTCACTGACCCCAAATAAAATTTCAAAACACTTGCATCGATACAAGAAGTAACTTGTACCAAACCGCATTCCGCATAGAAACACGGTAGCGAACGCTGTGCAGTTCAGGCTTTGTTACGAACAGCTTGTGGCATAACTTAGCGTGATTCTCTTTGATGGATGAGTAATGTGATCATACATAAGCTTGATGATGACTAAGAAGGGGCGCGCCAGTTTTATGCATTCATTGACGAGATCGAATAGAAGATGAAATGCGACTCACCTGCGCTTGGGTGTTTGGTTCCAGTCTCACCAAAATCCCAATTTCCTGAGTGCTGACTGTCAAAATACCCGCTCCGACAAAGTTTTGCGGATTCGGGTCGATACCTTGTAGCACACTGATTCCAAAACCTAATAACTAAAACCGAACAACACAATACGATAAGAGTCTAATTTCCAGCATCACAAATAATCCAACTTGGAAAGTTAAGGTCAAACAGCAGTCGGAAATTCACCGGGATAAGCACAATATTATTTACCCAAGTCACTCATCATCACCGCACAAATGAAACACAGTGAGACATGTTGCTGATAACTGCCGAGATCATCAAATAGATGAAGGCTACATGTGCAGAGGACAGAAAACAGACCGGCTTGAGTGATAAACGAAAGGAAAATATCACTATCAGCATAAATTAAGAGGTGAACTTTACAAACAACTAACATGAATAACGGCAGTGATGGCATTTGGAGGCCATGCAGTTCTTTGTTTTCAGATAACGTGACAGGATTGTAAAGCTCGATCTGCTAAATTGATTTGTGCAGTTGCTTGCGTCATCGCCGATCTCCAAGTGACTTCCGTGATTCTGAAGCAATGTACCACAGCACTGCTAGGTATACTCAATACCTGTTACGAGAACTTGCTGGCTAGTGGTTCGGAGTTTGCAGAGATAAAACCCAGTTGGTCTGTGAGGAATGGAATTATGTTTACTACGGATCAATTACGGTCCATCCAGAGAAAAAGCTGATACTATTGAGATCTTCTTTGTAAGGTTTACCAACCACTGACTCCAGAACAATAGCAGGAAGAAAAACGGTTACATTGCTACTCCCATTCACAATACGGCTACAAGAAGTGGTTTTCCAACCGATTCGCAACGGCACGAGGTTGAGTTGCATTTGGTTATTTGTGGATTGTTGCAACGGAATCAAAGTTAAATCAAGATAGGAGCGACGACAACTAGTATTCGGTTCTTTGCTTCAAATCACATGACTGGCACATGAGGTGAGCACTGTAAAAAAGATCATTCGCCCGATCACTTTGTATCATCACAACAGATGCACTAAGTGGAGGCGGGAGAGTAAAAGAAAACTCATCGCGACCGAAGCATTTGTTAATCCTGCTTAAATCCCAATGCAATAAGTCAATCAACCCCTTTGGACAGGAAGAAACCGAACCGCGTTTATCGTTCCAATAATTAATTACAACTTTGTTGCGTACCAAACGGAAGAAATTGAGTTTATTGCCGTTAAACTGCGAAATGTTGCTGAGAGGAGTATTGCATTTATCAAAGTAGTGGGTATCCGATTTTGTTTACAACCAGTACTGGATTGGATAGGCTGGCGATTATCCACATCACATTTTTCAAAATACCATGGTTTCGCGCATTTGAATTCGGTTTACATGGCGAAACTCCTAGCACACGGAACAAAGGAGACGCGAACTAATAAACTCAGGTAAATTGGACAGTATGTTTGCGTTTCACCCAAGTGGACCCGGGAGTTTTGATACTCAGTCGGATCGATACATTAGCGGGGTTGATTAAAACCGACAGGATTTAAACAGCTGTTCAGCGAGTGCTTTCGAGCTTTTCAGTTCACGTTTCCCGTGGTCATCATTACGTAATGGAATTTAAAAAAAACCATTACTTTTTCGTATGTTTAGGTCGTTCAAACACAGATCTATAATTTTCGCGCTCCGTAATACACCGGTAACTTTTGACAACCTGTCTGATGAAGAAAGAATAAAGGTTGAGTGTTATATTTGGACAATGCTTTAGGTATGACGACAAATGTGTGAGACGAACGAGTTCAAGTTGCCAACTGTATTCCAACCATCACGATGATACTTTGGAACCTTAGCCTTCATGAATTCCTTGACACTGATTTGAACATTCCAATCTTCCCTTTACTCTTGTATCCAAATGGGCAGACATGAGACAGTAATCAAAACCACCACATGAGTGCATGGTCTATTGTTGCAAAAACTGAGGAATATAAACTGGTAAGGATCTAGTTAAGTCGCACGAACGGGACAATGTGGTTGGGATAATAGTTGGAAAAGTTTAATAACCTAATTAGGGGTGAGTTCAATTCAGTTGATACAACTATTAACCGTACATTTTCATGCAGTGATTCGGGTTGCTTTCTCCTGGTTAACTGTTTGAATGAGAATAAAGGGACAAATAAGAAAACTGGAAGCAGTGCGAACGCACAGATATAGAATACAGTGGAACTAATTTGCTAAGAAATTTAATAGATGTGCAAGAGGCACTGTTCATAACAATCACACATCACTCAAGGTCTCTAAACATCGAGTTCAATGAAGTTGAGCTCCCAACCCAAAGGCAAAAGTGACTTATAAGTCCGAGCAACCCGTTTTAGGGTTTCGATACCTTCACGCCGGATTTCAACTGGACTGTCTTTTGTGTTTTTCCTCTCATTATCCACTCCGGAAGAAAAATCGCGCGCCGAGCTTACCAGAGGACACGCGTAACATAGTCCCTTTTGTGTAAATCATTAAGATCATCAAATAACCCCGTTTTCCATATCGGATCTATGCGTTCTGTCAACTCCAAAACCCTAAGCGAAATTCAATTATCCAAGGCTGATGGGGACTATTCCCTCACATGGTAGGAGACCCCGAAACCTTTCGAGATTATCTATTATCCGGGAAAACTCCGTTAAAGAAGAACCGCTTGGAACTGCACATTTGAGACCGATGTTAGAAAACAAGATGTCTATGGAGGCCAGTTGAAATGCGCCTTATAACGTTCCACCCACAACCCTAGACCGTCTTTCTGGTTGTGAATCACACCACGGTCGGACTCCTCAATTACCTCACAGATCCTCATCATGTGCTTTGAGAATGTAATTTGGGTGAGAAAAATACAAGCAGATGACGAAGGAAACTGAACAGATAGACAAGCACTTCATCAGATAAACTCCGATCACCGATTAGGGCGAAAAATAATATAATTGCAAGCAGCATTTAGACAATAAAACGAATTCCTCGATAACCCCGGAAACATGATCTATTGTTAACGAAAATATGATCTTTGTCAACGGTTGCACCCAATTTAATTCAGAAGTGGAGTTCGGAGGCATGATCATTTGGTGTGCAAATTCACTTTGTTTCAGCACTGGGAACGAAAATTGATCAACTGACCGTTCCGCTTTGCCTGGTCTATTGTGTTGAAAAAGCCAGAACGGTAACTACTCAAAATACACAGAAAAAGAGTAACGTACTTTGTTTTTGACTAGGGTCGGATCCATGGCGAATTGCGCATGGAAAATTTTCTGACTTTCTTGCCCAGGTCTGAAACAAAATCGATTGGACCAACAATTTTAGACCAAAAATAAACCAACCGAATGTATTTTGTTAGAAATTGTTATTTTAATTCCAACTCGTTGGGAATTACCATGAGCAAAAAGAAAACTTCCCTGGATCTAACAGTAATACAGTCGGCCAAATTTACTGTGGCACAGGGACCGGAAGTTTCTGAATTAACTAACCCGATAAGCGATGTGATCAGAAGAGACAATTGCATTTAGACATCATCTCCAGTGTGAGTACCAATAGCGACTCAACTCAACTGAACGACCTAAAGTACGACAAGATTCCCTTCGCGAGCACCGGACCGGTCCTGAAACAAGAAGACAAACCTTCAGAAGGGTTTTAAACCTGACCGAGCACGAAGGCCATTTATAAACACAACTCATTCCCCGATATATAATTTCGGGGTCAGTCACAGATGCAACCCAACTCAACAGCTTTTGAACCGCCGTTTCGTTTCGAGGATAAACCTCTGGCCAAACGCTGACTATGGAGTAGCAGTGTGTTGGTGCATGGTTACCGGTGGCCTCGTGGGTGCTCATTCGTCATTCGCTATGTGACTGCAAACTAGGGGTTCATGCACTCCAACACGACGAGACTGCACCTTGACGTGGCAAAGACTTGCGCGTCTTCATGGCTCAATTGCACAATGTATTCTACACCGTACACACCCTAACCATCGATGTGTGTTGCATCCAAGAAACTCGCATTCAAGATTCCAGCTCCACTATCCGA